AGGGCACCCCGCGGCCCAGCCTCCAGGCGCGGTCCAGCCGCTCGCCCAGGTCCAGCCGCCTGTCTCCGCGGTCTAGCTGCGCCGCTGCCGCTGCTCCTGCCGCCCCGCAGCAGAGGTCCGCCTCCTCCGGCAGCTGCCGCGGGTGGAAGGACTTAGAAGAGGGAAGGCGAGGAGGCGGGAGGGGAGGGGAGGAATGAAAGCTGCTCGGAGTCTGCCCCAGGGAGGGGCTGGGGGAGATGAGGGGGTGCGCGGAGCCCTCCACCTCCAGACTCCGCCACCCGCCTGCGCCGGGAGCTTCAGCCCTCTGGGGAGTAGAGAGGGGCTTCTGGAGAGTCTGGGGAGAACGGAAATGGACAAATTCGGAGGCCCGCCGGCCGCCCAGGCCCAGGCCACTGGTCAACTCCTTTCCCTTCCCGGAGCCTCCTCGTCGCCCCTCCTTCCCGCTTCGGGAGGGGATAGGTGGGCTCTAGCCTCCGCTCCTCGCAGCGTCCGGTTTAATGGGCAGGTAATTTTCTCGGTGAGTGATTTCATGGAAGCCCTTCCTAATTATTCATCCCTCCGTCTGCCGGAGCTGCACGCGCTTTCTGGAAAAAGATCACCCTCCAGGACCCAGGGCACAGCCTCATTACCGGTTAAAATCACAGGCTTTTCACATTTTAGCAAAAAAAAAAAAAAAAAAAAAAAACGTGGCGGGAAAAAAAAGCTGAGCGAGAGACTAGGAAACAAAACGAAATATAAGCACCTTTGCAACGGAGAGGTTTTGTGTAGGTGTTCCCTATGTAACTAAAAAGACACCAGGAAGAAGCAGAAGGAAAAAAAAAAAAAGGTGTGGTGGGCGGGGGGCAGAAATCTAACCGCCACCAGCTCGTTTCGGCCAAGATCTATGGCCCCCTTGCGGAATCCCTGGGGGCAGGGGGAAGGGAAGGGGTGGCGTCCCCTCTCGTGTTGCTCAGTTGCCTTATGACCCTTCAAAGAGGAGTCTGACGCAGGATCGTGGGATGCAAGGGAGTTCAGCCGGCGATGCTTAGGCTGAGAAAGGGGATCAAAAAGCTAGAAGGCGGGGGGAGAGGGGTACCCGAAGCCTGTACCCTCCAGAGACTAGCACCTCTGAAAGGAAATTCGGAAAACACAGGCTTTGATCCGGGAAAGCTGAAACCCCAAAAGAGCTCACGGAAGCTCTGAGAGCAGGACTGTGACGACACGGTCTTGAAAACCAAGGGTACACTTGCAGGTGAATGCCATTCAGGACCCGCGATGATTAAGGAAGGCCGCGTTAGATCAAAGGGACACCAGCGTCTGCGGTGCCCCTGGTGTGGCCGGCGTGGCCGGGCCCACGTGTGATCACACACTCGCTGGTAGATGTTGGATGCGCCTGTGGGTGATTAGAAGGCGGCTTTATAGGAACTCGGCGCAGGTCCCTGAGCCGAGCTGAGCGCTGGATGGTGAGTCTTTAGTTCCCCCTACTGGAAATTGTGAGCAAAGAGTGGCTTCATTTGAGGCGGTATGAAGAAGAGCCTTTGTCTGGGTGGGTAAGTTTTGGTGAGACCACTGAACTCAGTTCTACCTTATCTGTTAAGAACGTGGTATTGTGTGTTTCAAAAAATGATCAGCGGCATTCAAGCAATTAGGACCGTTCTTATGGCACCTCGGCATGCTTGAAAATTATGGTAATGAAAACGTCTTACAAAAGAATAAAACAAGTCACTCTTTTTGTGAAGCATTAAGAGTAATTTTAGCACACTTTTGATCTACAGTTGTCAGTTGTTAAAAAAAAAAAGGTACATTAGTATACTGAATTCCCTTGAATTCTCAGAGTAATGATTCTGAAAGTGGCTTTGTTTTAGTACTCTGTGGAGGAACCAAGACCAAAAAAAAAGGCTTAAGTGTTAAGAAGAAACAAATTACTACCTTTCTCTACCAACCCCCGAAAAGCAAAAAAAAAAAAAAATCTAAATTAAATAATATTACACTAAAAAAACCCCTTAAAATGTATTTGTTTAACATCTATTTTATCTTTTGAAAAATAATAGATGACCATTTAAAATTTTTATTTTTAAACATTTGGATGAGGTTTAAAGTTGAAGATTACAGGCCTATTTGATTTCTCCAAATAATGTACCCCCCCCACCTACCTTATTTCCATCAGATATCGTTACACTAGTACAATACAAAAATTTGAAAAAGATACAGAAATTAATAGATTATATAGACTTTTAAGATCCATCTCAGAAAGGGAAACATCAGAACATTTCATCTGGAAGAGTTTCCTTATGGTCATTCATTTATCAGGGGAAAGATGGGCTCTATTTTTATACTTGCTGGACCTAACCTACAAGTGCCTGTTCATAAGTATCCTGTAAAGCCATTCGGAGGCAGAAGGCACGTGCATATGGAGTAAGAGGATAGGTTGGAGATCAAGCTACCAATTGGTGTTGTCCTCTAGGGAAGAAAACATTGCCTCTTATTTCACAGAAGTTTTTCCTTACGTAGAGTATGACAAATGGCCTCACACAGAGGAGAGGTTTGTTTAAGGAAAATAGTTTTGCTTAAATTTAATCTTCCCCCCCCCAAGCATTGCACTTTGCATTCACAATTACTTTACCTACAAACTTAACAGAGCAAGTCAGTAATTTCAAGCAGATACCACCTTTTTGGCCATAAACTACCTGCAATATGAAATAATATCTGTAGCCAAGGGATTTTGGAGTTCATGTTTTCTACTTGCCTTGAAGACAAGTACATAAATGATTTTTTTTAAAAAAGAATGTATTGTCAGTATTTCATTTGATATGAAATGTGACAAAGGAAAGCTGATGACTATATAAAACATTCATCCCAAATGATAGATTAGGATTATGAGAAAAACCCTCAGACTAAATCAGCCACAGTAATGAGTCTTCAGTCAGAAATGTTATATGGACAACATCAAGTCCAAAAGAAAGCAAACCACTACTATCTGACAGATTTTATTGTTTTTGTACTAGAAAAATTTCTACTGGAAATATTTAATATACTTTTAGGGATCACTGTTAGTTAGAAATGAATTTCTCACACTAAAATTTCTCAATTAAAGGAAAGTCTTTAAAACCTGAACCTTCTTGTTGAAGTCAGAAATTCAATGTAGTAAGTACTTTAGTTATAAACTATATCTGTATACATATAAATGCATATATATATATATATATAGAGAGAGAGAGATTCAAATTTGATAAAATCAAATCTAGAAATGGCTTAGCACAATGAAACCCCACCACTACTGATTTCAGAGTCTATTAAGATACACAAAAATCATGGGCCAGCAGGTGGCATGGTGGTTAATGCACTGGACTCCCACGTGGCTAACCACAGTTTGATTCCCAGACCTGGTGGCTTTAAAATCACATAGGGTGGGACCAGCAGATGGTGAAGCGGTTACATCACTGAACTCCAGCAGAGCCAACTGCTATTCCAGTCTTGGACCTGGTGGTTTGAAACTCACATCAGCTGCATGTGCATGCATGCCCAAGATCCCAGGAGGAGAATGGAGGGGATTGCAGTGTGGTCATCCCCCCGGGGGGTGATTTCTCACTTTGTCTCTCACTATCTTTGTCTGTCTATCTCTCTCTCTGGCAAGCACATGCACCCTAAGGTTAAAACCTCTAAAAAAAAAAAAAAAAAAAAAGAAAAAAAAGAAGGAAAAAAAAAAAAAAAAAACACAGTGTATGACTGTGTGTGCCCAAAATCCTGAGGGGAGAAAGGAGAAGAAATTATTGCAATATAACCATCCTCCCTGAAGCATAATTTCTCTCTCTCTCTCTCTCTCTCTCTCTCTCTCTCTCTCAGGACTACACGCCCCATGGCAAAAAAGAAAAAAAAGCTGCACAAAATCAAATGAAGATTTTGCTTCATTATACCTCCAACTATGAATATTTTTTTCTTTCTGAACAAGTAACTGAATAGAGAAATGTACGTGGAAATCTATTTTTTTGCATGTAAAACTTGGAATGGTATTATGTACTCAAAATATGTCTACCAGACATGACTGTAAGAGACTGTAATTAATTCTGATTTCTGTAAAGTGATCAAATGGTATTTGTTGTGACTGAATATCTAAATTGCCATTTCTGGAGAACTATAAAATAACTATATGAAGGCAATCTGCACACTGTAAGATATAAAATAATAAGTATTTTTCTTTTACTTCCTTCCCCAAGGAAGTGGTATAAAACAAAACGATCTTTTTATTCTCTAACATGTTTATAATCACAAGGCACCATACAAAAAAATCAAAGGTTTTATACATAATAATGCTTGAAATATATACTACTATGTGGTGAGTAGTTACTGTGTTAAGATTTTTCTAGTTTTCAAAATTTCATCATATTTTTAAATGCCTAAAAGAATCTTTTGTGGTTGATATCATGCCCACTGAACAGATGAGAGTGCTGAAGATGAGATATCAAACCCAAGTTAATAAAAGATACAATCTTTTCTGAATCCAGGTCTGACTACAAAATCACTGTTCTTTTTTTTTTTTTTTTTTTTTTTTTTTTTTTTTTTTTTTTGGAGAGTTTTTTCTTAATTTTTGGAGAAGTTTTTGCTACAGGGAGCATGTGCTTGCCAGAAAGATGGAAAGAGACAGAGAGACAGAAAGTGAGAAATGACCCCCCAGGGGGGATGGTCACGTCACAATCCCTTCTCCTCCATTCTCCTCTCAGGATCTTAGGCACACATGCACATGTGCCCAGCATGAGTTTAAGTTGCCGGGTCCAGAACTCAAACCGCGGTTGACTACATGGGAGTCCAGTGACATAGCCATTATGCTAACTGCTGGTCCCCCAAAATCAAGTGTTCCTAAGTTTAACTTATGCTTCCTGGACTGATTTAAGATATCTTTAATTTGTAGAAATACTGTAACCTTTTATTTCTTTGATCAATTTA